TGTTCCAGAGAGACCACCTTCATCCTACACCTCCTACGAATTGATAAAACTTAGAGCATCCGCTTTGGAATTTTTTTTGTTGTCCTACAAAACTCTACGCTTAAAGGTCCAACAAAGTCTATAAGAATAAATTTATGTAGTAAACATCAGGCTCTTTTTGGTGTCGTTGTCGGGGAGGTAAGTGCTTCAAGGTATCTTCTTTAGATCTTGCAATTTTGTTTTTTACTTTCTTGTTTTTATTGCACTACCTTGGTTTAAAAACAAAATGAAAATGAGTGCACTTGGTTATCCTTACAAAGTTTATCCTGAAAACATTGAATTTGAACCCAAAAAATGAAGATGTATTTAAGGAATAATTTAAAGAGGTGATTAAATGTTATTAGTATGCTTTCCATGAATGTCATTAATGCTAATGATGGTTGCACTAGTCATAATAAATTTCTGAGGAAAAGGTTATAAGCGTGTCAATTCTTGTGAAGAACATAGACCTTGTGAAAGAATGCAAATTAGGAGTGACAAATATAGCAAGAAGCATAGACATGATAGAGACTAGAGTGTGGCTTGAGAATTTAGATGATTATGCTAAAAAAAAGTGTGCTCTTCATCCCATTACTTATAAATTATGCAATGCGTTGGTCATCTTAATTTCTAATTTCCAATGCATATATTATCATGATCGAATCATGGCCAAATATTGCGATGACATGATCACCTTTGTATCATGAAGATTTTTAGGGTGTGAAGAATTAACACGTCAAAATTGTTGGTTTGAAAAATCCGTTCTCACATATTCAGTTAAAAATATTCTAAGGGAAATCTTTAGGTATTCTCACATATTCCTCCCTCCGCATTTTCTGCATCATTCGAGCCTGGCTAAGGGAAACAATCAATTCGGTCGTTCCTAATGAGATGCTTTAAGATTCATGTTGTGCATGCCAAACAGTTAATACGGGTTATCAAACGGACCACTTTTACACCGCACGGACCTAATTGCGGGTAACCAAATGCGCCATTGACGCGAACCAACCGGTTAGATGGTTAGGTGAATAGTGGTATCCCTAGCCCATCAGGGTTCAAGTCCGAGACGTTTCTGTTGACTACGAGGCGCTCACGATGACTTTATAAAATCTCAAGATGATATGTCGACTCAGTCTCTCAGAGATGCTCATATGGGTAGGATGTGTGTGCGCGCGCGCGTTCATTGAGGTGAGTATATGTGTATATATGAGCGTTTGCGTTATACTGTGTACAAACAAAGTCCCGATTGTTTTGATTTTTGAAATGGGATATTTACGGAATCCCATTAATAGGATCAAACCTTATTCCATGATATTTTCATAAGATTCTTCTTCCTTCTATTGATTCTTTTCCGATCAAAATGTACGGATCCATGTATCTACGTACATAGATTTTGTTCATGGATTAACGAAAATGTTCAATAGCTCTATTTGCGTGTCATTCTATGAGTCGCTTCCTTTTTCGTATCCCCACTCCCTTTGGTAACATCTACTGATTTTTTTAAGACATATTTCGACCCGGGCGTTTTTAAGAGGTTGTACTGAGACTGCTTTAAGGTTGAGGAACTGCCTTCTTCTGCTCCATCTGAAGCTCTACATAAGGGTAAGCTCGGACGGCCTGCTTGAAGATGACGGCGTGGAGCATGCAGCGACCGCTTGACGCCATGAAACCAGACATCAGCATCCAACTCGGGAAGATCTAGGAGGAGGAACTCACGGATTGTTGTGGTGATTGCCCTGGAGAGTGACGGTGGTGACAACAAACGACGGTACGCCACTGGTCATTGCGCGGATCTTGCAAGGGGGTTGTTTCTACGCTAGATTAACCAAACAATTTCCATTTTTAGTTGATACCATTTACAGGACCAAAATTTACGTTTGTGTTTCCTTTCCTAAAGGTTCTACAAGTACCCCAGTACCCCAGAGAAGTCGCCACATGGCCTTGAAGATAGTACGTTGACTATGTTTCTTGGAAAATTTGTGGCTCGCGAAGAAATAATTATATGATTCAGGTGATCAATCTATGGTTTTGATTTGGTGTTTGTAAGTGTTGATACATTTCTCTACAAACTTGGTTATAAAGTATGTTTTTTGAATAATGCTATATAGAATTTAATTTGGCAAGGAGGGCGTATATTGTGTAAGCATGTTTCATGATATACCTAGTAATACTAGTTTCCTAATTTGTATTCTATGTATGTCCAGATGTTGTACGCAAGAAAGCATAGCATGTTTCACCCCTTTTAATTTAGTTGATCCAACTAATGTTGAAAAAGTCACAAGAAAGAAATGAAAGGAAAGGAGAAAACTAATACCTTGACGAGCCTATGCAGCTCCATTTTTATATCTCATAGAAGCAATATACCTAATATGCATGCCATCGTCTATGTTGAAAACACTTGAAAAGATTAATGGTTGGTTCTTTGGCATATTAAAATAATATAAGAGCACAAAATATTGCATCACCTCCTTATAAAGGGAGTAGAATGAAGTAGAATGAACCACAGGGGGGAGCATATTTTCTGCTAGGTCAGTTGACGATATAAGGAAAAAGTCATGTTGTTGGATATTGCACTATTAGGGGAGCATGTGAAACCAGAGGCAAAAAGATATTGTTGTACCAAATAGACCGTTCTGATACACCATTTTTTGGGGGGGAATACGCTTAGCAGCATATCATTTCATTGATAGAGGAGGAGAAATAGAAGTTACAGGGAGTTACAGGGTGCACCCTCGCAGACGTACACAAGCCGGTGTCTGGGAGGGCGCAGCAATGAGCAGAGGGAGAGGATGCTCAGCCTCGAAGCAGGGGGTCAGGCTACAGGTAAGATGCTAGCAATCCCGGTGGCACCCGCCTTGGCCCAAAGGCGGGCATCGTCCTTGATGCTCTTGATCAGGACCTCGGTGGAGGGGCGAAGGCCGTCGAATATGGCCGCATAGCAATGCTTCCAAATTGCCCAGGCGGTCAGCGCGATGATGGAGTTGAGGCCTTTTCTCAAAGAGCCAGGGGAGGCCTCCGCGGCCGCGGTCCACCATGCGAAGAAGCTCACGGTGTCATCAAGCGGCGGGGCGACTAGACGGCACCAGGAGAGAATCTCGTGCCAGGTGATGCGAGAAAACACGCAGCCAGCGAGAAGGTGGTCGATCGACTCCACCTCCTGGTCGCAGAGAATGCAGGTAGGATCGGTGGATAGGCCGCGGCGCACACGCCGCTCTGCGGTCCAGCATCGGTCGAGGTAAGCAAGCTAGAGGAAGACCTTGTTGTTAAGAGGGGCCCAGCTTTTCCAGAGAAGTTTCCAGCACGGCGGCCCGGTGAAGCCGTGGAACAGCGCGCGATAGCAAGAGCTGGCGGTGTAGGATCCGTTGGTTGTCCAGTTCCAGGTGAGGCGATCGGGCTCATCAGAGAGGACGACCAGCTGTAGCTTGCGCCACAAGCTTACGTACTCGATGACTGCCTGGGGCCCGAGGGTGCCGTGGATATCCCCAATCCACACACCATTGGCGAGCCCATCGCGGACCAGAGTGCAGCGGCGCCGGCGACGCGGTACAAGGGCGGTGAGGGTGGGGGCGAGCTCGGGAATGGAATAGCCATCAAGTCAGTCTAAGCATGAAAATGAGCTAAACTATGATTCATAGTTTTGAAAACAAAGAAATGCCTTTTTCAAAACTGCTCTTAAACTATGGGGATTCTAAGAAAATGTTCTGCATGAGAAGTGATGGCATTATCCAAGCTTGCCAACGCTTCTGACAAAATACGCGTTAGTTCAATGATTGGGATTAATATTTTGTTAACTACATCAAACTGATAGTGTTTGTGTAGTTCAAGGACGTCATCAGGCGAAAGCTCCATTGCACGCCATGGGACTGATGATCGGGTGAGGAGGGAGTTGGCTCAAATCGGTTCGGCAGTCGCTGACTGTGGGAGAGGTGGCGGATGACGTATAGATGACGTATGATACCGATCGGATCCAGCGGAGCGACCTCCATCCACACATGGCCGGCAATCATCATCCGTGATTGATTGGATACAGGTGAGATGCAATGATCGAATACACCAGGCACGACCAGAAACAATCAAAGGTCAAAAAATGTGCTTCATATATAGACCTTCAAAAGAAGTAACATAAAGAGAAGTGCAGAAAAAACAATAGGACCATGGGCAATGTAACCAAGAATTTCCTCTTTTGCGTCTATGTTCCATGACCGTAATCATACAAAACTAAACCAGGTTCCGCAGTAAAAGTGGGAACCAACTTAAACCCTGCTCTCCAACCATATACTCAAACTCATCACCACAGGGTGATACAACTACTCTTTCGCTAGACAGACGTGTAACAATCTCCAAACAGAGTGGAAACGACTGACAAGACAAAAACTTGAACATACAACAAAACCAACGAATAGACCAGCATGGGACTCCCAAAACCCAGTTGCTTTTGATGTTTATAAGGTGTGCTCCATACTCTTTCGACAAGTTAATACAGCACAGAAACACTTCTGACAAAAACCGACACAACCAACAACCGTGAAAACCCTATCTTTCAAGGTTCTTTTTACCTCACACAGATATATCAATATAATTTTGGTTCAAGCTATATTAGGAGGCAAAACCCGACTCTCCCGACAACACATGCGGCTCTGGACGTCCTCTGGTGAGGCAGAACCCAAATGATCCGACCGGTTGACCTTGAAGACTGACCATTGACCAAGCTGCACCACCGACGATGCAGCCCAAGGACTGACCCTGCTTAGACTGACTTGACGACTGCTTGAGACCAGACCGACAGGACCCAACAATGACTCGAACGACAAAGACCTCCCCAAATCTGACTAGTCCCAAGCAAGTAGCTAAGGTACACGTCCAACCGGGTATCTGCATGAATAATGTAACATCAGAATCCGACCAGACCACCATGACCGACCCAATGCAACACATATATACCATTAAATTTGTTTGAATGGCTCAAGAGAAATATCATACCTTCAGCCAAAGTTGAACCCACCCGATGGAACCGAGTTCTGCTGACTTCCAAAGTTGAAGCCATTCTGGGCATTATCACCTGAGGGCATGACCTCATCTTCCTCCTCCAACCAGTAGGACTCAAGCATCTTCACTGCCTTCTCATATATTTCTGTGTTGTCATGGCTCTGAAGGTTCTCAATCTTTTCCAGTCCCTCAGCGTCATCAATCATCTGCGCATAGTTGTTGACATCCCCTGCTCCAAGGTTCTTTTCTGCCTCCCCAACCTTCAGGATGTTCTCAAGACCTTCCAAGCAAACTGTTACAATTCTGGGATCCGGGCAAATGAGCAGATCACAGAGCGGCTTGATGCAACCCTGGGCAACAAGATACCTGCTCAACATTTCATGCAGAGCAAATGATATTAGAATACCAGCATGAAAATATGTACTAGTAACAATAACAAAGCACAAGCAGAAGCAAAAAACAGAAGTTCACATACTTAATCTGATCATGTGTTCCACCAGAAGTGGCATTTGAAATTGCCCAAGCTGCCTCCTTCTTAATGTCAAATTCAGCACCTTGCAGGAGATGGACCAGCGGACCAATAATGTTTGCCTGGATAACAGCCTGGAGACAAACAAAAAAATTAGAACTGTGGTATGCTCTATAAAGAAAACAACTCAAGCATGAACATTAACAATGGATCCCTTGCTAATTTATATAGATGACAATGAAAAAAGAGAAACTGGCTTCTCAAAACAAGGTTGGATGTACAGGATTGTGGAATTGGTGCTAAGCAATACAAGCCAGTGCCTTTTCTTTTAGAGAATATCACTATACAAACTGACAACACAGAGGGCACAAACCTGAATCTGGTCCCGGTTACCAGCTGTGATGTTTGAGATTGTCCAGCATGCTTCTTTCTTGATGCTTTTCTTGTGGTTGGTAGTCAAGAGGTTCAAGAGACAGGGAAGTGCTTGGTGATCAATGACACACTGCATCGAGATAAATTATTAAATACAAACACAGAACAACAAGATATCAGGTAAAGTGAAATTGCAAACACAGGTATGGTACTACAAACCTAGTTAACTAATGCATGTGAACAGCTATGTATTCATCAAATAAGCCTTTATGCAAAAATAGATAAGTAGATCAAAATAACTAAGCATTGGACAGAAAAATAGATAAATACTAATAGCACATTCATCTACCATGCTCACATGAGTCATAGCAACAATCATTTAAAACAGTTGCCATACATTGCCAGCAGTGGGGACACCAGAACCAAATATAATTTTAGTAACAGAAGCCAGATGACAATCCAGCTTGGTAGTTTGAATTGATTATACACAGCAGGAAAAAGAATTATCAAACAATTCATCTAAATTATGAAAAGAGAGGGACCAACAAAGCTAAATAAATGAGCTGCTATTCAACAAAACACATCTAAGAATCATAAATTCCATGAACCAGCACGGCAATTCAACAACCAACATAGCTAAATAAGCTCCGACATAAACAAACATTGTAGAACTTACAATAGCTGTCTAGTTATTTTATCACTTTCATGAGCTATAAGTCCTGTTAAAATTTATAGACATTTGAGGACACACAGTAAAATACCCAAGGTACTACTAACTACCACATGGATAACAAGGAATTACAGCTTTAATCATCAAAGTAACAGCAGGTAATATATAAAAAGAGAACAGCCCTCAAATGATCTGACCTGAGTCTGCAAATCATCACCAGTGACAATGTTACCCACCGTGCGCAGAGCTGGAATGAGAACAGAAGCCGAAGGGTGCCTAAATCAAATAATAGGAGTTAGCACATCAACCATATGTAGCTGAGGGAAAAGGTGAACATGAAAAATGCTCTTACAAGAGAAGCTCCACAAGCCGAGGAAAAACACCAGACTCAATCACGGATTGGATCTTGTCATTAGTTCCATCAGAAAGGTACGAGAGAGCCCAGCAGGCATCAGTTAGCACCTCCTCATCCTGAGAGTGGATAAGGCGCTGCAGTGCTGAGAGAGCCGGTTTGACCTGCCCAAGCACACACAGATCAACTCATAAGCATCATTTTTATAGCAAGTTCAATCAGTGAGACAACTTCACAGAATTAAACCTGTTCAAAATTTGGCTGTGGTTTCCCACGGCAGAAGTTGGAGAGTGTCCATGTGGCATTCCTGAGCATCGAGAGCTTGGCATGCTCATTGAGCTGCTGCAACAAAGGGAACAGACCACCACTTCCAAGCACAAGGTCACGGCACTTTGGAGAGTCACCAGCAACATTCCCCAGAGCCCAAACAGCCTGAAAATACAAATATGAAACATACAACATTAGCATCACGTCGTAAAGCCTCTAAAAGAAAAAAAAACTTCTGAGTTGTTCTCATGCCTGTTCGCGGACATCCTCACTAGGAGAGCTGAGTAGCTTGACAAAGATGGGCACAGCACCATACTCAACCACCACTTTGGTGTTGTCTGATGTGCCTGACGCGATGTTGGTGAGCGCCCATGCAGCCTCAAACTGTAACAGAAAAAATTAGGTAAACGTGTGCCACTTTGAGTGATTAAATGCAACTACAATAAATTAACATAACTTCATCATAAGGATTGTTCTCACCTGGAGTTGGGGATAGTCCTCCCGTGTGAGGAACTCAATGAAGCGAGGCACCACGCCTGTGTTGATCACTTCCTCAATTGGAGGGCTTCGCTCTACAAACATTGAGCAACATATCAGCAGGCGAACCAAATAATCAGTGTTGAATATTCAACAAATGGTGTAAGCCAAAAAAACAAGCATCCATTGTTTCCCTAATTATTATTTTCATAAGCATTGCAGGATCACATTACTGTAACAATGTTACCTAGATCGACAAACAGCTGACTCAGAAGATCAGCAGAACATTGATTTAAAAAGGCAACAGTTAAATCGAAAACTATGATACGGTGCAGGAGCATCCAAAAGATGAATGGAATTGACACGTTCAGTGAATTTTAAATCTCAGAGAGTAATATGGGGACAAGTAATTGATTTTGCCCCCACCTAATACGCAAGTAAACTAAGACCTATACTGGTGGTTTAGCGACGAGCCCACACGCAAATCTAGAACTGGCAGACCTCGGGGGTTATTAATCCACGATTTCACCAAAACCATCCTAATTTCATCCCTTGTAGTTCAACTAGGGCAAAAATATTCTCCAGAGACATCAGCAGATGTAAATTCAAGGCTCACCGATGGAGAGCAGCTTCCGGAACTGGGTGGTGGCCTCGAGCTGCACGGCGTTGTCGTCCGAGAGAACCGCCTGCACCATCGCGGGCAAGCCCTCCAGCTGCACGCGAACACAGATCCGAAACAGTCAGATCGAGAATCCCCAATCAGAGCCCTTACGAACAGACCAGATCGAGAGAGAGAAAACGAGGGACGGGGGGCGTACCTTCTGCTGGAGAGCCGAGGAGTGGCCCATCTGCGGCGCGCCACCGGCAGCGGACGCGGCGCCGGCCGGGAACCCGTCGCGGCGCTTCTTCTGGAGGTTCGCGTCGCGCTGATTCTTCCGGATCTCCACCATCTGATCCTCCCGCCGCCGGCGCCCGTCCTCGGCGTCGACGGACGCCTTGTAGCGGCTGCGCCGCACCTCGGCCCGCTCGTTGGGCCGCAGCGACATCGTCGGAGAACCTCGAAACCCTAGGGGGGAGGAGTGGGGGTGCGCACGCACGATGCGGTTGGGCTCGATTCGAAAAAGGGGAACGGGAGGGGGAGATGTGTGGGCGAGGTGGGGGGATTTTATAGGTGCTCAGGAGGGGCACGAAAGGAAAAGTTGGGAGTATGACGGTTGTTGAGCTGGATGTACACGGTATCGCACGGGTACATCTGGAAATAGTTGGAGAGTTTGAATTTTGAAAGGCTGGAGTACTTGGCTCGCAAGTTTGCGGTACTATTTGTTCTTTTTATGACGGTTATTACTGCTACTTGCTGTTTTGCGGGGATCCTAACTCACCCACATGCTCCAAATTTCTTCGAATGGAGTACTCCCTCCTTCCATCTATATAGGGCCTAATGCAAAGTTGCTGATCTCGAACCACATTAATATCAAAATTCAAAATTCCCGCGCTAGGCGTCGGTTGTAAGGGGAGGACAAAACAGGATCTCGCCCTGCCGTCTGCGTTCGATCGTGATGTCGTGTTCTTCCTCACATCGCCTCTCTGCTCCTATGTACTCCCCTTTCTCACTTTCTCCTGTGATACGAGGTCACAACCCCATTCTCGTCGTGCTCGCATCTGCGGTGACCAATGCCTCGGTAGGCTCGCAACATCGTTGCATGTTTCTTAGAAGTGCGCAGGTTCATAATTTTGTGCTCGCAACATCATCGGAGGTCCACCCGGCTTGCAGCATGGGCTCGCAGCATTACCGGGTCTGCCACGCTCGCAACATGGGCTTGCAGCATCATCTGAGGTCCGCTCGCGCATGCAACATGGGCTCGCGTCATCATTGGCGATCCGCGCCCTCCTTGCAACATCCCAACCTACACCCATAGCATGAGCTGGCCTTGAAGCACCGACCGTCGGGCCTTGCAGCAGCGCGCGGGTGAGCTGGTGTTCGTGGGTCTGATTGGATGATGATGTTTGTGGTGGGTAGGGAGAAGTGGGGCATGCTCGTTGGGGTGTGATGCTGGTGGTGGTGGTGCTACGGTTCGGGTGGTACGCGCAGGGAGGCATGACTCTGGTGGTTAAGCTCGCCGGAGGTGTGAGATTAATGTCCTGCAAGAGCACACGGTGTAGCACTTTCATAATAAGTGATGTGTCAAACTCACAGGAAGCCAAATGGAAGGCACTACTAACCCCAAAACTACGTTGTCACCGACATAGTTCCGTACGCGTCCAAACCGGAGTTTGGAAATAGTCGAATCTATCGGTTGCTAGGGAAAGAGAATAAAAATGAGGTTTTATCTTGTAACACCCACGATGCGGCTATATCGCCCACGTGTCGAGGCATGACTTAGAGGCATAACAGCATGATGGTTTAGTCGCAAGTGGGGTAATCTTCACACAATCACATGTACTGAATAAGAAATGGATAAAGAGTTGGCTTACAATCGCCACTTCACACAATACATAAATAATTCATCCATCATCCAAATACAATCAAAGGTCCGACTTGTTGGAAATATGCCCTAGAGGCAATAATAAATTGATTATTATTATATTTCCTTGTTCATGATAATTGTTTATTATCCATGCTAGAATTGTATTGATAGGAAACTCAGATACATGTGTGGATACATAGACAACACCATGTCCCTAGTAAGCCTCTAGTTGACTAGCTCGTTGATCAATAGATGGTTACGGTTTCCTCACCATGGACATTGGATGTCGTTGATAACGGGATCACATCATTAGGAGAATGATGTGATGGACAAGACCCAATCCTAAGCATAGCACAAGATCGTGTAGTTCGTATGCTAAAGCTTTTCTAATGTCAAGTATCGTTTCCTTAGACCATGAGATTGTGCAACTCCCGGATACCGTAGGAATACTTTGAGTGTGCCAAACGTCACAATGTAACTGGGTGGCTATAAAGGTACACTACGGGTATCTCCGAAAGTGTCTGTTGGGTTGGCACGAATCGAGACTGGCATTTGTCACTCCGTGTGACGGAGAGGTATCTCTAGGCCCACTCGGTAGGACATCACCATAATGTGCACAATGTGATCAAGGAGTTGATCACGGGATGATGTGTTACGGAACGAGTAAAGAGACTTGCCGGTAACGAGATTGAACAAGGTATTGGTATACCGACGATCGAATCTCGGGCAAGTATCGTACCGATAGACAAAGGGAATTGTATACGGGATTGATTAAGTCCTTGACATCGTGGTTCATCTGATGAGATCATCGTGGAACATGTGGGAGCCAACATGGGTATCCAGATCCCGCTGTTGGTTATTGACCGGAGAGTCATCTCGGTCATGTCTGCATGTCTCCCGAACCCGTAGGGTCTACACACTTAAGGTTCGATGACGCTAGGGTTATAAAGGAAGTTTGTATGTGGTAACCGAATGTTGTTCGGAGTCCCGGATGAGAACCCGGACGTCACGAGGAGTTCCGGAATGGTCCGGAGGTAAAGATTTATATATAGGAAATCCTGTTTCAGCCATCGGGACAAGTTTCGGGGTCACCGGTATTGTACCGGGACCACCGGAAGGGTCCCGGGGGTCCACCAGGTGGGGCCACCTGCCCCGGGGGGGCACATGGGCTGTAGGGGGTGCGCCTTGGCCTATATGGGCCAAGGGCACCAGCCCCAAGAGGCCCATGCGCCAAGAGATGAGGGATAGGAAGAGTCCTAAAGGGGGAAGGCACCTCCGAGGTGCCTTGGGGAGGAGGGACTCCTCCTAGCCGCACCCTTCCTTGGAGGAAGGGACAAGGCTGCGCCTCCCCCCCCTCTCCCTTGCCCCTATATATATGTGGGGGGTGGGAGGGCAGCCATACCAATGTTCTGGTGCAGCCCTCCCCTTCTCCCAAGTACTTCTCCTCCCCCGTGGTGCTTGGCGAAGCCCTGCAGGATTGCCACGCTCCTCCACCACCACCACGCCGTTGTGCTGCTGCTGGATGGAGTCTTCCTCAACCTCTCCCTCTTTCCTTGCTGGATCAAGGCATGGGAGATGTCACCGGGCTGTACGTGTGTTGAACGCGGAGGTGCCGTCCGTTCGGCACTAGGATCTCCGGTGATTTGGATCACGACGAGTACGACTCCATCAACCCCGTTCTCTTGAATGCTTCCGCTTAGCGATCTACAAGGGTATGTAGATGCACTCTCCTTCCCCTCGTTGCTGGTCTCTCCATAGATAGATCTTGGTGACACGTAGGAAATTTTTTGAATTTCTGCTACATTCCCCAACAGTGGCATCATGAGCTAGGTCTATGCGTAGTTACTATGCACGAGTAGAACACAAAGTAGTTGTGGGCGTTGATTTTGTTCAATATGCTTACCGTTACTAGTCCAATCTTGATTCGGCGGCATTGTGGGATGAAGCGGCCCGGACCAACCTTACACGTACGCTTACGTGAGACCGGTTCCACCGACAAACATGCACTAGTTGCATAAGGTGGCTGGCGGGTGTCTGTCTCTCCCACTTTAGTCGGATCGGATTCGATGAAAAGGGTCCTTATGAAGGGTAAATAGCAATTGGCATATCACGTTGTGGTCTTTGCGTAGGTAAGAAACGTTCTTGCTAGAAACCCATAGCAGCCACATAAAACATGCAAACAACAATTAGAGGACATCTAACTTGTTTTTGCAGGGTATGCTATGTGATGTGATATGGCCAAAGGATGTGATGAATGATATATGTGATGTATGAGATTGATCGTGTTCTTGTAATAGGAATCACGACTTGCATGTCGATGAGTATGACAACCGGCAGGAGCCATAGGAGTTGTCTTAATTTATTTATGACCTGCGTGTCAACATAAACGTCATGTAATTACTTTACTTTATTGCTAACCGTTAGCTGTAGTAGTAGAAGTAATAGATGACGTGACAACTTCAAGAAGACACGATGATGGAGATCATGATGATGGAGATCATGGTGTCATGCCGGTGACGATGATGATCATGGAGCCCCGAAGATGGAGATCAAAAGGAGCAAAGTGATATTGGCCATATCATGTCACTATTTGGTTGCATGTGATGTTTATCATGTTTATACATCTTATTTGCTTAGAATGACGGTAGTAAATAAGATGATCCCTCATTAAAAATTCCAAGAAAGTGTTCCCCCTAACTGTGCACCATTGCGACAGTTTGTTGTTTCAATGCACCACGTGATGATCGGGTGTTTGATCCAAACGTTCACATACAACGGGTGTAAGACAGATTTACACATGCAAACACTTAGGTTGACTTGACGAGCCTAGCATGTGTATAGACATGGCCTCGGAACACAGAAGACCGAAAGGTCGAGCATGAGTCGTATAGAAGATACGATCAACATGAAGATGTTCACCGATGTTGACTAGTCTGTCTCACGTGATGATCGGACACGGCCTAGTTGACTCGGATCATGTAATCACTTAGATGACTAGAGGGATGTCTATCTGAGTGGGAGTTCATAAGATGAACTTAATTATCCTGAACATAGTCAAAATATCTTTGCAAATTATGTCGTAGCTCGCGCTTCAGTTCTACTGTTTAGTTATGTTCCTAGAGAAAATTTAGTTGAAAGTTGATAGTAGCAATTATGCGGACTAGGTCCGTAAACTGAGGATTGTCCTCATTGCTTCATAGAAGGCTTATGTCCTTAATGCACCGCTCAGTGTGCTGAACCTCGAACGTTGTCTGTGGATGTTGCGAACATCTGACATACACGTTTTGATAACTACATGATAGTTCAGTTAAACGGTTTAGAGTTGAGGCACCGAAGACGTTTTGAAATGTCACGAAACATATGAGATGTTTCGAGGGCTGAAATTGGGATTTCAGGCTCGTGCCCACGTCAAGAGGTATGAGACCTCCGACGATTTTCTTAGCCTACAAAGTAAGGAGAAAAGCTCAATTGTTGAGCTAGTGCTCAGATTGTCTGAGTACAACAATCATTTGAATCAAGTGGGAGTTGATCTTCCAGATAAGATAGCGATGTTTCTCTGAAGTCATTACCACCAAGCTGCT